TTTTTTGAGGCAGGGTCTCACTGTCTAGTTCAGACTGCCCTGGAACTCACTGTGTATCCCAGGCTGGTCTCGAACTTGCAATGATACTCCTGCCTCAGCTTCCTGAGTGCTGGAATTACAGGTGTGCACCACCACGCCTGGCTAAAAGGAAACTTTAAAAAAGTGTCAGTTTTCCTCCCACTACCTCCCCATCTCCTTGAAGTACTCTCTTTAAGGGGTTCAAATGTCAAAGATAAAGTTTTGCTACACTGGCACCACCACACTTAGTTTACCCAGAAGAGTAAGATTTGTCTGTTCCTAGGTACACACACACACACACCAGCACCACCACACTTGATTCACTGTATTCATTTTATTGCTAAAATGTATCCTCCTAAGATAAGCAGAAGTGTCACCAAGTTTACTTCTTAGTAAGACATCTTAATTAGAGGTTAATCATTTTAAAGATATTTACTGTTGCTGTGATAATTAAGGCACTGGTAATCCCAGATTCCCAGGACCAGGAAAAGGACCTCAAAACTTGCATGGTTTTATCACGTTGACTTTAGACTGCACTTAATGAAAAAATTCCTGAAATTTAGAAAACTTCTATCCCATACTTAGCTGTTAGATGGCCTGGAGCAAATTACTTAGCCAAAGTCCAGTTAAATGGAGAAAACAGTACTTATAACAGTACTTGAATAGGGTTATTCAAAAGTTAAATGAGGCAGTGCTTAATATGTATTTGCCATCTGTTAAAGATACAATAAGCAAAAATAAAGTGTATAGTACATACTAAGTGGTCAGTAAATGTTACTGTCTTTCCCTCTATATAACCATGAGAAAGAGAAACCATAGCTGATTTAAAACTCAGCCTGTGCGTGTCAACCCATGCAAGCCTCTGTACCATAAATAGGGAAGGGACACGAGTATAAAGAACAGTTTTAATTTCTCAGACAAGTGTATTTATGAAGGAATTTACTCTAGTATTTTTTTTTTCTGTTTTAATTTTCAGGACTGATAGTCACAGAACACAAAGAGATATTTATGGCAGTCCAGGCAAAGCATTCTTTTCAAGAAGAGGCACATATATGACAATTTGGAAAGACGAAACAAGTCTTTAAAAGCAGAACTATATGACAGGTTAAAAGGCCAGAAACTTCCAAAGTAAATGATGTGTTCTTTAAATGTTAAGCAGACTTTACACAGGCATAAAAGGCAAAGGGTCCAGGAATTAGGGAGCTCATTTCTGCTTATGTGCCAGCACAGGTTGGAACTTCCACTTATAGGCCAGATCTAAAATGTGATTTCTTTAATAATCAGAATGAAACAGCTACCAGAATCCACGGAATAATGCTCACCATAGGGACTTTTCCGAATATTACAATTTATCCAGAGTATACATCAACCTTCAAAGTTTAGATATCAGAGTAGCTGAAGAGCTGTGAACAGTACCCAATGGACCCATTATTAAACTTTCAAAGAGCGTTAGAAAAGCTGACTATGATTTAAGGTAAATCATCCAGTGACGGGGAACTTTCAATGATACAAACAGCCTGCTGCAGTACATGTGCCATAGGTTCACTACCACTGACCCCTTCAGAAATACAATAAGGAAAGTTTTGACTACACCACATTCTGATTCAGAAGACACAAAACTGTACAAAGCTAACACATAATACTCTATGCCCCAGAATTCCAGTGAACCCTAAGAGCAGGGCTTTCACACTAACAGACCCTAAACCTTACCCCAACTTCTTTTCTTCCTCTCTTAGCATCCTGTCTTAGTCTTTCTCTCTACCAAGCTGTCCTACTGTTCTTAACTAGAATCTTTCTGCAGCCTTGTCTTCATTTACCACACCTCCATCTTGCACTGTACACAGTGGTTATGCCATTACATTATTGAAAAGAATTTGTACTTATTTGACTCCAGTTGTACGTGCTCTCCTAATTTTTTTTTTTGTTGTTGTTGTTGTTGGTGGTAGTACCAGGGATTGAACTTGGGACCTTGTGCTTGGAAGGTAAGCATGCTACCATGGAGCTATATCCCCTGCTCTCCTAATTTTTTAAACCTTTACTGAATATTTCTCTAAGGGGAAAAAAGGAATATGAGTCAAGTTACTTTTTCATACATATCCTAGATAATTTTTAAAATAGAAAACATTTCCTTAATCCTGCTCTGTGGCTCTCTGAGTACATAGCTTGAAATTTTAAATTATAGTATTTATGCCAAAATTTAATCACAGTAAATGTAAACAGAATTTGATTTACAATAGTAGTTTTACTGCAGTGCTTCAGTGGGGACAGAATTATTCTAAAACACCATCTGTTTTCTTCCTAACAGGCTCTGCTTAGAAATGGTTTTGTTTGAGAGATGAACTTAACACATCTATAGCAATAAGACAATAATGGTTTTGTTTCAAGTACAATGCTTGCTACCCTACTTTGGTTTGAAGCTGCCAAGGATTCCTTCTACTTTAAAGTATTACTGCTGCTGGCCAAACTGAGGAGTTAAAGGTAGCTGTGTGGACGCCTGTACCTTATACCAACAGGGCATGTTTCCTGACCTGAACTCCCATCTTAAATGGGAAAGTAGGGAAAGAAATTCCTATGGAACCAAATTTGTTCACTGGCCAAAAAAATCCTACCTACAACACTTCTTAGATCTTAGCTCAAAACACAAGTTATGAATCATTCACAATCACTATAGTGGGCAACAGGGTTAATATATGTACTGCTGAAGCGAGCACAGGCAACAGGATTAAATAACATGATTTTCTAACTAAAAAATCAAACAACTTTATCTCGTCATACTATGGCCAACAAAAGCCATTTAGTTCTTCCTTTCTGATAAAGGAAATAAATTTAGTTTTAATACAGTTTTTCTTACCGTTAAAGGGTACTGTAAGAAGGCATGATCAGGGACACAGGCAGAGAGCAAATGAGACATGAGCCAAGACAGAAAACCATCCCTGAAAAAGGCATCATCTTCTAAGGCAAACGTGGGGTCGTTCCTAGGCAGCCATTTTGGACAAGCTCTGGTCTCTTCTTCAGTGTGACATACTGAGTCAGAGGCAGACGTCCTTCTGTGGTATTCACTTCCTGTCTGATTAATTTGTTGTTTGTTCCTTCCTCCTTTGCTACAGAAAAAGAAACTAGATTGGTTTTACTTAGGAGGCAAGCAAAGAAAAATACCCCTAAATTAAAAAATTAATGTTTCTCTTTCCCACAAGATATAATATAGCCATTTGGTCTGGTGACAAGAGGAGTTCAGCACCTCTGTCTAGTTAACAGCCTGACTTTATTTTAGACACCTCTACAAAAATAATTGTTCATGGGACTTGAGATTCTTCAAAAGAATTATATGTGAAAGCATCACTCTCAATTCCATTTAGTAATAAGGAGAAGAGTCACTCAAGAAATAAAAGCTCTTAAGTACACTGATAATTAGTCTAAGTGATCCTTCCTCATTTACAGAGCATTCAAGTATGTGGTGAGAAAGTTACAAATGCAGATGAAGAGAGCAGGTCAGGTGTATGAAAGCAAATGAGTTTTGAAATGTGGTTTGGGTGCCGAAGTCAGGATAAACGATGTACAGCTCAAATCAGCTGCAGATTCATAGCTCTCTAGGTTAAATGTTTTGTTTCTGCACTCTGTACTTATCGAGGTAACAATAACTCTCCCAAGGTGCTTGACAAGAGCATACAGGAAATGAGGACATGAGGAGGAGTCAGACAGGGTCGGTAAGAGGTGGAATATATGCAGACAACACCATGTCAGAACCATGACTTATGCACAGTGTAGAGCAATCTGAAAATGCTCATATTTTTCTTGACACATCTGAAAGATTTAGACTTATAACTACAACATATACAATGTAACTCTGAAAAGAGTATCACAGAAAGAATGAAAAACAGAGGCATATTTCAAAAACGAAAGTACTGTTAAATGTGCTTGTTGGTTCCTGATTCTGCGGGGTTCTGAGCCACGAGGCATGTGAAGGTCCGACGTTAGCAAACCTTCCCTTCCCTGTAAAGCCTGCACTAGGTAGGCCAGTGTTCTCAACCCAGGTTGCTGCTGGAAATACGTGGAAGCAGTTTCAGCTGAGGGTGGGGTGGAGGGAGGGCCCATGGGTTCAGTGGGTGGGCCCTGGAACCTGGTGTTCAGGATAGACACCTGATGAGCTCCTGCTGCGGCATACCAGGGTAGATGAGGTCTAAAATTCTTTCAAACTCTAAATTCTCTGAGATCTGAATTGAATGGTATGAACAATCTCATGTCATGGACACAGTTCCTGAGAGTGGAGCACACAGGGATTGACAGTCATTAGAAGTAGCAGTATCGGGAGAACGTCCCCTAATGTACCTGGAGCCACTTGAAGGGCTGCATTCCTAACACAGGGATTAGAATCTCAAGAATAAATACAACCTGAGTTTAGACAGAGGCAAAAGCCTGTCCTTTTTTCATCTGCAAACCCTTAGGACACGAAAGAATCTGATCAATTCAAAATGTCTGAGTGAATCTTTAGAGGAAGTTTCACTGTAGCTGGGTCTAAAAAGAGAACATGGGCCATGTGATGATTTTTCTGTGTTTACAGAATTATTTTTTAAATTCACTAAGTGTGGCAGCACACACACACACACACACACACACACACCTCACCCTCACATGCATGCATGCAGATACTCTGTACACCACTTGTGACAGCTCAGTCAGAAAGCAGTGCGTCACCTAGAAGGCAGTCTTTAAGAATTCAAGTCTGTAGCTGTGAAAGGTCTGGGCCTAGTCCAGGGATGGCGAACCTTTTAGACATTTCAGTGATAACAAACAGCCTGCCACGGCACACACTGTGTAGGTTTGCCACCGCTGGTCTAGTCCACCTTTAATGAGAACTTGTAAATGCAGTCAACACTGGACACATTTATTAGGCATCTATTATGCATAAGAGGACATGAAGGGGACAACACTTCCTCTTCGCTTAACTCCCTCTAATGTTTTCTCATTTCACTTAAAAAGTCTAAATTCTTTGGCTACTGGGCCACCCATCTTAACACTCCCTCTTGCTATGGTACGTCCCAGCCCTTTCTGTTTCTTAACTGCACAAAGCTCATTTGTATCTCGCAAGTCCTCTTGCCTAGGACACACCTCTTTAGGTTCCTTCACATCTTCCTAAATGTCCCAACTCTCCTGTACTCTTTTCTTCATAGTGCATGTCTCCACTTGACTTTTTTTTGTTTATGTGTATGTCTCTCCTCACCAGAGTCCAAGCTCCACACGGGCAGGGACTAGGTCTGTCCTGTCTCCTGCTCTTGCCTCAGCATCTAATATAAAACACTAACACCTGGTAAGGGCTCAAATAGTGTTTACTGACTGAAAAAAAATCAGTATCTCACACAAATTCCACTGTAATGTTCCTTTACGAGCTTAAGACTGTTCCTCCTGAAATAATGCCAACATGAGATTTAAGACCTCTTGGGAAAAGCTGTTGCAGGGCTGCTTTCCAGGGGAAAGGTCAGTGGGTAACCAGGTGGGCTCAGCAGTGTGTGTGAAGTCATGCAGCATGAGTGGCTCATATCCCCAGACAGTGGGCATAGGGTGGGCTAAGAAAGTTAAGCCAATCAGAAAGGAAAGAGAAGAAAGAAAAACAGAAACAAGTCAGGAAAAGATGGAGACAAGAGGTCACAGGGCAGGCTGGCTGCCACATGGCTGACCTCAGTGGCCTAGGACTCCACCTCTGCAGTGAACGACACAAAGTGCTGCATGTGCCAGTGCTTTCTGCCCTTACAGTGGAAAGCAGTATTCCCAGGTCAGTATCAGCTTTTCCTGCAGGCAAGTTCTTACAAAAGGAATTTTAGGGCTGAAAGAGACCACAGAGATGAAAACCCACATTTCAATGACAGATGAGGAAATGGAGGCCTGAGAGCGAGAGCCTGCAGTCTGCCCACTCATCACACAAACAGCAGCAGCACAGTGGTGCTAGAATCCAAGCTCCCACTCTGGGGCGCAGGGTCAGTACTGCTGAGATCTCGAGTTAGGGTCAAGAGGGCAATGCCACCTAACTGCTACATGCAGAGAGGCAGAAGGAAGAGGAGCAGGAAAAAGGGGTGGAGGAGCAGGGGGTAGCATTTGTGTCATTGTGGCTGCTGTGAGCAAAGGCCCAGGATAAGCAGGGATTAAGAATTGAGATGACAATCACAGATCTGGACATGAAGAATTTTAGAGGCCTATACCTTCCCCACCCAATACATAGACCAGTCTGAGCTTACGATAGATAAAACAATAAGCAATAGATCCTACACCAACCAGGTAATGAATCTTCCATATTAATCTACAGAAATAAAAACCAAGGGCAGACAGAAGATTAGAACCCAACTGTGTAGGTCTCATCAGTCTCTGAAAAGCAGTAAAAAACCACAGCCAACAACTCTCCTGCAGTGGCCCCAAATCAACACCTACTGAGTCAGTGCACTACAGACATGTATAAAATATGAGAACATTCTTTTTAAAATAATTCTGGCTGGTCATACTGGGTTTCCATGACTACCTGCTATAGTGTAATGCTGTTTGCCTTGACAATGCGAAGATGTTTGTAATCCTGTATCCCCTCAACTCTAAACAACCTTCAACAGCAAAAAACCCCTCTTATAGCTTTGTGGGGGAAGAAAAGAGACACTACCAGGTTAAATGTATGCATCTACTGTAACAGGAATCTACTTTCAAAATGTAAAATATGAGGGCTGGAAGGGTAGCTCAATGGTATAGCACTTGCCTACCATGCTCAAGACATAGAGTGTGTGTGTTAAAATAGGAGAATTATGTGATTTTTAAAAAGCAGGTGCAAAGGAAATAGTCCTTTACCTCACATAATTATCATTACAGTTATACTGAGGGTTGATTATTTAAAACTAATCTCTAAAATATAGAGAAATTAAAAATAATTTTGTTGTAGTTTATGCCCTGTCAACATAAACTGGTATGATCTTACTTGGGGAAAATGTGCAATATATTTCACCGTCTTTGTCCTTTTGTTGTCTTTTGTGTGGGGTCTCTTCCTGCCTCAGACCACATGACTCCAGAGGCATTCACTCCCCCTGCACACACAGGAAAGGATGTGATTCAGGGCCGGCTCACTGGACTCTTGCCTTCACTTGGCCATAGATGTTTTTGGGATAGCCTGTGATGAGTTCAGAACCAAGGAAACTTGTGGCTAGAGGCGAGCACTCTTCCTAAAGGATAAGGCTGGAATGAGATTTGTGATTATGAAGGGGTTGGACCTGCTTCTGTGTCCTTTGACCACACTGAGTTTGAAACCACAACCAACACCCTGGGGAACTGGGACAGACAAAAATGAAGTACTGATCTTGCTGGCTGAGCTCTGAACCAACCTATACTCAGTACTAGCTTCTAGATTTTTAAAAAATTTATTTGAGCAAATAAATCCTCTATTTTGTTTAAGCTGCAGAGTCAGGTTTTCTAACAACACAGAGGATCTTAAGTGATATAGGACTGGTACAAATGAGAGCTGAATGTGACTAGCCAGCCCTAAAATGTGCTACTGGCTGGCTGAGGTTGGGGGAAGACTAGTTCTGGCTCCCCTGAGCTCAAAGGTGCTAATCCTTGTTATGTGACAGCAAACTTGCTGGGTATGCTGCCACCTATTGAACCCTTGGTCTAAGACCATGAGCCAAGTAGATCAGGGAACCCCACTAAAGAATTCCACAGAGAAAATTTAGAATGTCCCAGTGCCCTCTAGGAAGATCCACAGGAAAGAGATGAATTTAAGCTGAAAACTGCCTAGAAGCACAGAGGGGAAAATATAGCTTTGTTAACACAGGCCCCTTTTAGTTTGTGATCTGTAATCAGTATGGGTGAGGGTTAAATCATCTGGTCAAATAATAATCAAATAACTTTGTGGGGTGGAAACCCCCAATTTTTCCTGCTAAGCTAACATTAGAGAAAGCTGGGACAGGATGTTAAGGACCATACCTGGAAATAAGTCTGCAACACAGGAGCCTGATCCCTTACTGTCTCTCCAGAGGGTGTTCCTTATGTTCTCTCGTTTGAATGAAAAAGGACAGTTACTTTCACTGTGACACTGGGATCCAACTCATGAGCCACAAGTAAATGATCAAATATCAAA